GGGTTAATGGAACACTCATAGAATAATCAGTTTTCTGAATTGTCCATGTATTCTACTTTGGAGCCTACTCATTTATGATGAATTGCTGGGGATTTGGGGGATTGTTTTAGATATACCAAGCAACCAATTACTGTGATTTCTGGTTTACAAAATTGTGGATTACTAGCTATTATTGTTCATCAGAAACTAGTTAGAACTCTTTAAGTGTTGAAATGGAAATCTATCTGAGATCATATCTTGATCATTATGACCACTTAGCATGATTTTTCTCCCTATTAACCTACCCTAGGGGATATTTCAATAGAATGTCAGATTATTCTCATAAACATTAGTAATTGGAAACAACATGTTTATCATTTCCCCAATGTTTTCTTCCCTACAGGCTATATATGTTTGGTGCTATCCACCTGGCCTAATCTGTGTGGTTTTTGAATATAGTAAATGCTATGGCCATTGTTTACCCTTCTCAATTCATTTTCTTATAAATAGTAGTTGCTAGATAGCTTGCTTTATCTACTACTCATTTAAATTTTCATATCACACAAAAATTTTAACTTAATTTAGATGAAACAAATATGACCATAACTTGAAAGAATAGAGAATTGCCCTTTGGGAAATCCATATGGGAGAGAATTTTCCTCTGCATGGGAAACACTGATTTTTTTTTTTCCTGCAGCTTGAACGTGTGGACTGAGTCCATAGTTCTCTTCTTACTGCTGTTCCATATCTTCACAGATAAGGGTGGGGGACTATGATTCTTCCACTAATCTTTTTATAATGTACTTAAGTCGTAAGTACATGTAAATATTGTAGGTTTTAAGTTGTTTAGGGATATTTTCCTTATAAAAACTCACTAGTTACAATTTAGCTGCTGTACATGGTTTTAGGATGTCTGCATGTCCATCTTGTTCTTGTTTTACTTTCATTATTTATTTTATTTTTTATGTTAATTTTATTATATTTTTTTGGGGGGAACCCGGGATTGAACTCAGGGGCTCTTGACCACTGAGCCTTATCCCCAGACCTATTTTGCATTTTATTTATTTATTTATTATTTATTTATTTATTATTTATTTATTTAAGCTCTCACTGAGTTGCTTAGCACCTCACTTTTGCTGAGGCAGGCTTTAGCTTGCAATTCTCCTGCCCCAGTCCCCGGAGCCTAGGTGTTGGAAATTTGTGGTGAGCAAGTGAGAAATGGTGTCTGTTTGTAGGAAGTCTATCTGTGGAAAATTGTCCTTTATTATTCTACAGAAAAGCCAGCTAATATAATTCTATAGAAAAGCCAGTTAATATAATATAATTCCCAGGAATTATAGGCATGTGCCACTCTGCCTGGCTACCTTGGTCATTATGAATTTGCATCTTTGATTTAGAGGCCCTCTCAAATTGACTGTAACTAATATTTTTTTTAAGAGTAAATACTTTTCACAACAAAGAATCTTTGTTTAGAGCTATACCTAAAGCACAGTTGCTAAAATTCACCAGCAATGTGATGCTGTCTTAACTGCATTAAACATTAGAAATGAGAAAATATTCAATATATTTTTCTTTTCAAAAAAGTTTAGAAAGAGGTCACATGGTGTCATGGTGTCATCTCAACATGAGCTGAGGTTTCTAAAAGGTGCCATGCTCCTGTGTAAATGTGCCTGTTTCATAGATGTTGTGTGGGCTCTGGTCTATTCACCACATGCACTGCATTTATTAACATCCATAATTTTAAATCCTGCTAAGAAATTATGTTTTATCAGATAGTGAGCTGGAGAAAAGCATGCATCTTACAATTTTACTTTGTACAACTTATAGGTGATTCTCAATTTCACATCATGTCCTCAGGATGTGAAATTGCACACATGGATTGCTGAGGAGCAGCTATCCGGAGACATTAGTTACTCCCAACCTAGCATATTATTGCAGCTTATGTTCTGATTTTTTAAAATTTATAGTCCTTGGTTTTACATGATCCATGTACTTCAAAAGGCAAGCAATCTTCAATCTTGCTCAGAGTCAGCTATCATGGTTTAGGATGGGGAAAGACCAGAGGGAAGTTGGTCTTATATGAGGCTTTGAAATTGTACTATTGCTTTTGAGCAATTTTGTTTGATTTTGATATTGAGATATTTTGAAGGGGATCAATAATGATCACATGGTTCAAATTGACTGAAAAAAATAATTACACAATATTTAAGTGGTGTCAAATGAATGGACTTTCTTGAAACAGAAAAATAGTTATGCTATCACTTTTAGCCCTATATTGTTTTTTTTTTTACTATAACTCTTTCAGTTATACAATCAATTGGCATACAAATGCTTTGAGAATATGACATGATATGCCAACTAAAAGAAAGATCCTGAAGATTATAAATTATGATAATATGTGTATATACACTATTATCAAAGAAAAGACTTCAGTGGGAATAGTCCTGGATGGACTGGCATTTCCACTGAGAGTGGGGAGAATATGTCAGTTATGATTATTTGCAGGATGGTTTTACTGAGGGCAGTAAAGTCAGATAAACCCTACTGTTGATAATGATCATGTTCCCTTTTCTTGGCCACCCATTTGGTTGACATTGCTATGAGGGAGTTTATGTTTTCCATAAGAATACTGATTTTCAGCATCTGGTAGAAGAAAACTGTTGAATGAATAGCATATGTGATTTAAGTGCTATAAATTTATAAGACATTTCACATATAGGAAAATTGCTAGTCTGAAAAATAATTTTTCTGGCTTTTGATCACATAATGATTAAAAACCATGATATTTAAATCATTGAGAACTAATTCAGAAAATATATATGTGTCAGAAGAAGATGGGTAACTGTATATAAACTTATGGGGCTGTGGGAGGACCCTCCTGCTTCTGTTTATAATGATGTTTATTTTCCATTTGAGCCAAGGAGGTATTGCATCTCTAACCTGAAGTGGCATTGTACTTGAAAGGGACAATAATTGTAGGTAATTTAGTTTGAATAAGATTTACCAAAAAATAGGATTAATTGGGAAAGATATTTTGTATATGCAGTGGACGCTGGAGAGGAAAGTGCAAGATATATACCTCTAATATGGTGGAGCAGAACCAGCCAGGGACAGGAGGCTGTGGTATCCAACACTACTTTGGCCGCTATAGCACAGGTGTACCATGGAGATCTGTATAAAATAGTCTATGTGAAAATCAATAATAGACACATGTTAAACAAAGCTCAAAGAAAAAATACGGCATTACTCTTTTTGTCATTTGTACTACTTTAAACTAAGTTTTTCAAGTCTAAGTTTATACAAATGTGCTCTTTTCTAGCACTTTAGAGTGATGTAAATCTCACGTCTTTGTTGAAAACCTATTTGTGTGGCCAATGCTAATGGTTGGAATCTGTCTAGAAACACAATTGGTATTAACTTTTGGACTACTTGTATTTTATCATCTTTGAAAATGGCCTTGGCTTTTGTTGATGCTGACTTTTGGTTATGATGATAGATCTTTTAGTAATTACTCAAGGTTAGAGTGGTTCTTACTGCTTTATGGACCTAGAGCATAAAGGATGACAGATATAATAAGTTGGGAACGGGTAGGAAATCAGCCCAGGAAGCTGAGGAGACTTCACGAGGGAAAGGGGAGATGGGGTGGCTTACATCAAGAGTTCTGGAGATGGACTTTTAAGTCTCATGGACATAGGTGTTGGAATTGATTCAGAATTCCATTTGAGCATGGAAGACAGATTGTTTGAATGTTCTTGACTAAGTAATATATTTTAATTAAAGAAACACTGACAGAAACCTATTACTTATCCCCTTTGCTTTCACGGGAAAACATAGACAATGGATTTAGATAGAAGTTTCTTTAAAAATAAGCTGCGTTTGATGGGGGTAAGGGATCCAGCTATAGCATTTCTTTACAAATCCTTGACTTCCTCCTTGGAGTGACAATGCTTCTATGTTCTCATAAGATTTCCCAGAAATAAACAGGCAATACTGGAAAAGGGAAGTTCCACAATGATTTGCTCAATTAGAAAGTAACATAACTTTGTCACGTGATCTTAACCTATTCTAATGAAACACTCCCTGCCCTACCTCCTTCTCCACTTTTTCAAATTATAAATTCATCCCAAGCAAGCAGGATCATCAGCTTAATTTAAATATACTTTCACATTTAAAAGGGTTTTCCAAAAATGAGTGACATTCGTTTTCTTAGGAGAGATTGCTCTTATGCCAATTGTTGCCTATGGGAGTCCCTTTCACACTTGCCCTATGGGCCCTGTTGGTTAGGTAAACAATGAGCTCATCTTCCTTCTTGCAATCTCACTGACCTTATAATGAAAGGTCTCAACACAAACTTAGGGCAGCTGTCACTTTGCTTGAGTTTGTTTTGGCTTTTGCTTTTCACTTTATGGAATTCACTCTAAGAAGACTTGGAACATTTTTTCCCCCCACTTAATTTTTTTTTTTTTTTGTAATATGAGCTCCTTAAATACATGTGAAAGAGTAGAAAGGAGATAGGAAGGTACTGATGATGGCTCGTGCCTATAGGCAAACATTACGTATATTTTTACTTGATTTTCAAACACACTAAAGAACTTTTGTACTGTTATTTTGATAGGTTTCAAGTGACTGCAGATGAGAGCTTTTTCTTTTAATCAGTACCAAGCTTGGATTCCTAAATAGTTATTTAAGCCCTAAACATTTCAGTTGAGTTAAATGTTAACCAGCCCAAGTGATTAGTTTATAGGCTGTAAAACTGCGTGGAATACTTTGTATCAGCAAATACCACAATCCCTGAATTCCTGGAGCTGGTATTGTGTTTGCATTCAAACATACCCATGAAGTGTTTTTTTCCCCCCTCTAAGTATTTCAGACACATTTTTCTTATTTGAAAGCTTTGCTTATTACTCAACAACCTCTGTATCTAAAGTATGTCAAAGATACATAGAAAAGAAATGACATCACGGAGCCAGTTTTGTTCGTTGAGCTTTGTGTTTAGCTAATGCTGAGCAGGGCCGTGAGTCATGCAGTCCTGTGACCAACCCGGCACTTTTCCAATCACAGACTGTTAAGATCTCTGACAACAGAACCTGCAGTTGTTTGAGGAGGAGATTTCAACAGTGACCTGTATACTTGGTAAGACCAGGCTTATGTGGGTAACAAAATTTGTTTCTATTCCTGCCGAATAACAAAACACCAACAATGAGATAACACTTAGTACAGCTGACTCACTTCCTCATTTACAGATGAAAGGAGTTATCCAAGAAGTGACTGTCTCACAAGGAAATAATGTTTCCTTCAGGTAATTACCTGAGCCTTTTAAAAACAAGGCTGACTATTACACTGACTTGTCAGTAGTTAGGTATGTTAATGAGTCAGTTTTATTATGAAGTAATAATATGAATTAAAAACCACCCCGTTTTCATCCTTACATATGTGAGAATTGCTGATTTCAGACACTACTCGAAGAAATAGCTGTGTAGCTTAAGCAGTTGTCCAGGAGATGAAAATTTTCAATTTTATTAAAAGGTGGAATTAATATATGCTTTTCTTATTGTTTTTAGAAAAGCACATCTTAGTGGCAACACTGCAGCTGTTACTACCAACATCTGGATCAGAGATTCCGGTGTGCCTACCTCCTCCTGGGTTAGCAGGAGAATGAAGATGCGGAAGGAAGGGTGGAGAGAGGCCCCAGGGCTGTGCTATATGCTCCTCACAGGTACCTGGGGGTGGCACAAGCATCTAAGGCCTTGGGACTTATCATGTCTTGCTCTCTTGATCTGACTTAGCAGCAGCTGCCCTCATGGGGAAGGGATTCTCTTTGCTGAAGCCTCTGCAGGAACTTTATAGAAAACCAAGAAACCTCAGCCTCCCTGACTTGCTATAATCCTCTGGGCTTTACAGCTTGGCAATGTTCCTCAAAACTACTTTGGAACATATTTATTTTAAAACAAAAAAGGAACTCAAATGTGTTGGGAGAAAAATCTATCCAATAATTTTGCCTTCCTCTGATTATAACCAAAAGTCATATCTAATTTTCTTCTAGACACAATTTTAATAGGACTTCACAAAGATGGAAATAAACGCCTCTAAACAGGAATTCTTGGTTTTCAGGCATTTCTCATGTATTTCTTAAAACACTCATTTGCCTTTTTCCCTACTTGGTATGTCTGCTCCTGAATTCTCTTGTAATTTTAACAGTTGTACAATTATTTTTGTTGTTGGGAAACTGAAAATTGTGAAACATGTTAAACGGAGCACATTTAAAAATAACCTAGACTTTTCTGCCATTTGGGGAAGGCCACTGGCTTGTTTGGGGTTACTAATGGGAATAACTGATCATGTGTGATTACCTCTAGAACCAGCTTGTTTGCTCCAAGGGAAAAATTCATTGAACAGCCACAGACTGCATTCCAGAATATTAGCCAACCACTCTGCAAATGCACACAGTTAGGTCTTAGCACCATTGGCAACAACTCATGGAAAGACAATATGCCCAAGGGACAAAGGTCTTATTGCTGGATACTGGTGCGGGATCCAGTTATCAGGGATTTTCATGAGAGGTGCTTTCCCTTTCTTAGGTTCCTGTTTTTTTAGAAGGTGCTTCATTGCTTTGCAATTACATCTACCAGTGAACTCCAATCTGAATATTGTGTTGCAGTGTAGTAGTGGTTGAGGAGTAATTGTAAATACATCAGGGCCCAGAATACATTTGTCACATTGTATTTCTCTCCTCTATTAACAAGTCAGAGACCTGGTGGTATCATTGTCACTGGTTGCCAATGAGAGCAGCAATTAGGACATTAGAACCACAGTGGGCTCTGCCTCTCAGCATTCCCCCCCACACACCGCCACCACTGATCTGTTAATTAGTTGGGCAGCTTGCCTTCAATCTACTTTAGAGCATGAGCCTTCATGTAAAAGTACATTAAAAACATAAATAAATGTAAACTTCAAAGTTGTTTAGAGGAAAACATGGAAGAAGAGCCCTAGAGTGTGTCTTTGTGGCCTCACTTGTGCACACAGAGGAGATGTCTGTCTCAACCAGGGAACAATGTGGTATGAGTGCCAGTATGTCTAGGTGTTTCCTCCTCTGGGTTCCCAGGATCTTGTCTGAAAGGCAGCATTGGTCAGTTCCAGGCCCAGAATGTTGTCTTGGTGTCCATGTATGCTCAGGTGAAGCCTAGCCCCCAAAAGGTGAGATGGGGCCTTCGAGCATTGGTTGGACTATCTGTAAAATGATCCTCCTTCTTCTTCTTTCCTCAGAGCATTAAAATCTAGGAGATGATAACAATAGTTGCCATTTATGATGTGATGTGCAATGTTCTACACAACTGACACACAGCATTTCATTGAGTTTTTGTATCGACTCTGTGATTTAGATACCTCTTATTCTCTACTAGATGAGGAAAATGTGATCTAGTGAATGAGGATGATTTGGCTAGCTTCACACAGCTAGAAACTAGCAAGTCAGAACCCAGTCTCCTGGTCTTGGAGTCTTAGTGAGCATGGATCCTTATAAAAAAATATTATGAACTGGTGGCTTCCACGAGACACATTTATTTCTCATAGTTCAAGGGGCTGGAAGTGGGAAAGCCAGTGCCCATATGACTGGTTTCCAGGGAGGTGATTCTCTGTGTTTTGCAGATGGGTCTCCAGAGTGCCCTACCATTTTGAGGAACACATTTGGTCCATATCACTTGATTTCCAAATCTGTGTATTAGCCACAGAGCTTTTCTATCATGCCAAAGTGGAAAATCTGAATATGGTAAATACTACTGTGAGAAAATGAATTTATGTTATTTGAGCCACCTAGCCTTGACATTCCATTATGGCATCCTAGACTAAGATAAGGCTTCCTCAAACAGGAAGGGCCACCTTCTTCCTCCAGGAACTGCCAATGCTTGTCCCCCTTCTCCTATGCTCAGTGGGGCTTTGGGTTTTCCTAAAGTGTTATGATTCTCATCTTCCCAACTCAACTATAAAGTGCCTGCATATAAGACTCCAGTTGTTATTATTTCTCCTTCCTTTAGTTACTAGTCAAATTACATGCTGAGCGGTTTTTGTTGTTGTTTGTTTAATTTTTACACAGAGTTTTGGTAAGCTGCTGAGGCTGGCCTTGATCTTGTCATCCTCCTGGTCCACATCCTCAGGCACTGAACTACAGGCTTGCGCCACAGCGCCTGCCTTTGTTTGAGAGTTAATTAGCCTAGTTGTACCTGATATGCTGAAATAGTTTGTTTTTGCTTTGGTTTCAGAATTGGCAAAGAAAACTGAAGAAAATTATGCATAAAATCCTGGCTATTTTCAGATATAAGAGTGTTGTTTATTTTTTCCTGGAAAGATCTAGTTAATTATCTCTGTTCTGCCCTTCAACTTGCATATAAAGATAAAGTGGAGTGCTGACCTCCAAATTCTACAAAAGGTTTTCTTTAATTTTCCTTGAACAGAAGGTGTTTATCAACTCAGAATTCAAATCACATTAAATTCTCCGATACTTGACCAGGATTCTTCATACCAACCCTCCTTCATTAGAATAGTTCAATCTCTTCTTAATAAAAAAAGGAAAAACAAAACTGTTGAACTGAAACGATCCCTCCTTTTTTCAGTAGTGTTCCTATTTTTTTCTTCTAGGATGGAATAAATTTTAAAGTGAGGAATAGCCTTCTCTCCTCCAGGCCAAACAACTTCAAGTATGGTGGGATTTTCACTTAGTGGCAATACTCTAGACTGAACAATTAAATGTCCTGTGGACTGAGGCTGCCAGAGATGAACACTTTTTAATTGTTCTTCTAAACAGGGTATGCATGTTGTAAAATAAGTCAAAAGAACTTTTCATTTGCATTTCTAACCTAAAATGACCCTGTGTGTTTAATTCAGGGTGCTTCCTGTAGATAAATGAATCATGAGTTACTTTTCCCCTATTAAATTTAAAAAAAAAAATAGTTCAGACTAAGTATCTGCGACATTTTGTGCTGATTCCACACTAATGTTCAGAAATTTATTATCCATGATATTTTATGTATCTATATGAATTTTGCAAATATAATTCCAAATTTTTTGGCCATCATTTTATTAAGCTATAATATGTGAAGGAAAAAGCCTGAGAACAGAAGGTTAGGTGGTAGTCTGCAAGAACACCACTGAACCAATGTCATGGACTGGGTCTGTAGAAGCAAAGGTTGGGAAGGAAATTTATCATCTCCATGCTTTTGGCAACTGTCTCTTTCCTCAGAAAAACAAAATTATCATTTGCAAAATGATAAAGATAATTGGCATTATAAAAGTTTTGCTTGAATCCATTATTTTTTGAATTGCTGGAAAAGTTTCTGCCATGCTAACTTGTTCTTTTGAAATGACTATTACCCCAGCACAGCTGGGGTTGCATTCCGATGCAAAGTGCCCAGCACATAATTCACTTAATAGAAGAGCAGAGCAGAACTGGGGTGCTGCAGCACCTCAGCCACATGGACAGTGATCCAGGTTCCTTCTCTGGTTTCTGATCCATCCACCTTGCCTTTAGCTTTCACTTTCACAGTTCTGCAATGCCTGCTGATCCTCAGGCAGTTCCACAATCAGGTGCAGAAAAAGAAGAAAAATTTGTGTTCAGTGTGTATATAGTTTTAAGTATGCAAGATGAAAAAGCTCTACGGATCTGCTGTACAATCTAGTTCCTGTCGTGGACAATTCTGGTGCACGCTTAACAAAATAGGTGGAGAGGGTAGGTCTCTTGCTACTTGTTCTTACTATGAGAGAAAAAAACAAAGGGGCAGAAGGAAATGGGTGAGGGTGATGGGTGTGTTTAGTCCCTTGACGATCATAGTTGCGTCTGTATGTCCTGACTCATCCAATTACATCCACTAAATATGTGCTGCTCTTTTATATGCTAATTATGCCTCAGCAATGTGGTTAAAAAGAAAATGATGGAAGAACATATCTCCCAAGATGTACTTTTCTTAAAAAAAAAAAAGAAAGAAAAAGAAAAAGAAAAAAAAAATTAGACAGTGTGGCCCTCCGAGGGAAACTGCCTATCACTCACAATTCAGAACGGGGTTCATATGTCTTTGTCTTGCCACAAAGAAAGAGAGGAAGTAGCACAGGAATGTGAACTGAGAGTGGCTTTACCATCCCAAAGCCACCATATCCGTGCTTTCGTGAAGGTGGTGTGGGAAGCCCAAGGGTCCAGGTGTGGGTTTATCTAATTACTATGTTACCTAAACAAAATTCTAGTGACAAAATCAAAATTTAACTTTACTAGGTCACTAGCAGTGGGAATAAAATGAGATTAACCATGTGGAATTCAAATTCTGCTGCTATCACCACTGGCTGTATGACTCACACAAGATCCATAGAGCCTAAGAACCAGTGTCCTTTCTTGTAAAGCTGAGATTACACTTTGGATAGATTACTACTCTGAATGTTTGGTTCCACCCAAAATCCATTCACCTCCATTTGATGTGACTTTTGGAAGTTGATCAGGTTGTGAATAGGATCAGTGTCCTTACAAAAGGGCTTCAGAAGACGTGAGGACAGAGAAGGCCCCATCCATGAGGAAAGGGTTTTCACCAAGCACCAAGTCTGATAGCTCCTGGATCTCTCCCAACTTCAAAACTGTGAATGGTAAATTCCAGTGCTTCTGAATTGCTCAACACAAAGTATTTCGTTATAGCAGCTAAAATAGACTGCAACAGGAATAGCCCTTGTGCGGCTCTTGTTTTG